CCCCGCCCCCGCGCGTGCTCCCTCCCTCCTTCCCTCCCTCCCACTCCCGTGCGCCCCTCCCCGCGAGCCCCTCCCCGCTCGCCCTACATCCAGCGCCTGGCCGAGGGGGCTCAGTCCGCAGTCGCCGCTGTCGCCGCCGCGCTTTGGCCTCGGAGCTGGCAGCGGCCACTGGTGCCGCCTAGACAGCTGCGCGGGTGAGCATCCCCAGACAGTAAGCCCGCTTCCCCTCCGCGTGTGCGGGTGCACCTCCCGCGTCCCTGGGGAGCCGCAGCTCAGGGCTCCGCGGCCGCCGCTCCGGCTTGCGCCGACCTGCAGGGCTTGAGTACCTGCGGCCTCCGGCCTCGGCTGGCGGCCTCGCCCACGCGGGGGGGCTGCGGAACCCAGAGCTCCAAGGTCCCTTAGGGTGCGTGCCTCGGCCTCTTCCCGGGGGGTTCGCCCCCCTGGGGAGGGGTCGGGATTCAGAGCGGGTGGCTCTGGGTCTTTCCTCTGCTAGGATGGAGGGTTGTAGTAAAAAGAGGGGGCTTTTGGTTTTCTCACCCAGGATGGCGGGCAGTGGGGGTGGGGCGAAGTGGGAATACCTTTGAATTTTTTTTCTTTTTTTCTTTTTTTTCTTTTTTAAAGGATAGCTAGCAGCAGTTGAGAGTAGAGGGGAATGATGATGATGACGACGATAGCGATGCGGGGGGTGGGGGTGGGGGTGCTTCGTTGGTTTTCCATTAAGGATGGCGCCTGTTGGGCTGGAGAGGAAGGTGGAACCTGCCTTGGCTCCTTCCATAGAGGTGTTGAGGGAGCTGCGTGGTGGTTTTCCCTTTGGGGATGCTGGGGGTGGTGGTGGAAGGAGGGGAGTGCAAGGAGAATGGTGAAGGAGGGAGAGGGCTGGTTGCGCGGTTCTGCTCTCCAAGGGGAATGGCAGGGACGTGGGGAAGGGGGGTGGGGAGAGGGGACTGGATTTCAGCTCTAGCATGGAAGGAAGCAAGGGGAAGGCTCTAGCACTTGGGTTGAGTCTTGGTTGAACCTTAACAAGGTGGGTTAGGAAAACTGCTGGGTGTGACCTTTCTATTTGTAAAAGCTTGAAATTCCCACTACATGCTGTCCTGGGCTCTGGGAAAGAGGTTTCTGCTTCCAAAGTTCCCATTGCTTAGCACAACTAGGTAGAGGCTTGAATCAGAAAGGCTAAAGGAAACACTGAGTGTGCTGTATTATTTTCTGCATTTGGGCCTTTTGAATTTCTCAGGCTCATTCTGATTACAGTGACCCCCACAAGTAGGGTGACACATTGGGAACAGGAGACAAGAAAGTATGAATGTGATTTCAGATTTGGTTTTTGAATTTCCTGAAGGGCAAGAGTGGGACAAATGTCTTTGCTGGAAACCCTCTGGACTCTTCTTTAAGTTACGCCATTGGGACTAAGCCTCCTTTGATTTCAAGTTGGAATAGATCCAGTTTTCCTAATTGGAGCTATCATTTTGTAATTGCTTGTAATTCTCCATGTTAGCAAATGTATTTTGAGTTTATAAAATACTGGGAATATTTTTGTTATCTTGATTAAGGCTTTTTAATATAAATGTAATGTTCCTTGGAAATGAGAATATTTACAGAATAGCACAAGTTTAAATTATGGGTCATGTGGAATTGGGTAAAGCGTTCCCATCCTTGCCCATCTCCAGGAACTGGCCACTCCCCATTCCATACACTTGAAAAAAAATCAAGGGCTTGGGTTGGTAGTTTGTCTTTGGAAATTCATGTCCATATTTGCTTAAGAAGAATGCACATTAACAAGCTGTGGGCCTTAAATGTGCAACGACTATAATGCTTTCCCGCTTTGGTTACATAAGGTTCCAATCTAGCCTACCTTCAGTCTTTACAAACATGTAGTTAACATTTTTAAGGGCAAATAGAATCTTTATGCAACAGGAAATTTGTTAGATAGGCCATGATTTGTACAAACCACCACACAGAAAGTACGCATTCTAATAATACCATATAGATTCTGTAACCATACATGGCTTTTTAAATTCTAGGCTTCCATTCCAATATTTAATTTTTTTGGAGAAGGAAAATATTTATTTTTCTAGCAAGTCTAGATTTGAGGATGAAATCTAGACTTTTTGTGTAACATGCAAATTGGTACACATTCTTCTTGTATGAGTTCTTTGGAGATGATTTAATATGCATTAAATGAATGGATCACTTGAATAAGATATCGACTTTGTTTATTGCAAATGTTAAAACTAGAAATGTTTAAGTGGAACTAGAACATGGGTCTACATGATTAACAAAAATGCATTTACTTAGGATGTTGTGTATACACCATTCTAACGTTTAATGTGATGTGTCTTCTGCACCAATGCAATAGTGAGAAAGAGCATATTTTCACAATATAATTTAAGCCTTGTGTTTCCTCCTTTGAGGAATAAGAATGCTGAAAGTGGTAAAAAAAAAATCTCTTAAAAGGAGCAGTATGTTGGTGGGAAAATGGGCCTTAAGTTTCTCTCTAAACAAAAGGAGCAAAGGGAGTCTTTCTGTTGGCTTTTTGAGGACCTGTTGTAAAATGGGAGGACAAAAGATGAAGAACTTTCAGAAATTAACAGTCTGATGAAATAGTTGTTCTAATAATCTTATAGATTTGGCTAGTTGTTGATTGGAAAAGTAACTTGTAAGTCAAGCATTTGTGTAAGATACTGAGCATCGGGCCTTCAGTTAGGATATTTATTTATTCATTTGTTGTAGTACTGGGATGGAACCCAGGGCCTCACACATGCAGAGCAGGCGCCGTTATCATGGAACAACATCCCTAGCCCAAGTTTAGACATTAAAAACAAATAATTTGTTGAAGGCATGGCAGCTAATCTCCTGAGGCTGTGCCCTGTTTTCCTAATCTCTTCCTCTTGGTTCTCCTCTCCCCCCCCTCCCCCTCCCCCCCCCCCCCCTCCCTGGTGCCAGCAGCATTGGCTTTTATAACCTTGTGAGAGTTGGACAAATGTGCCTGCTTGCTTGAACTTTAGTTGTTATCTCGCAAGCGGCTTTCCTTAACTTTTGTCTACACTTTTTTGTTAATGTTGTTGTTAACTGAACTACCCAGTTGTTTGAATTTGGGATAAAAGGGAGTATGTTGTAGTTATTTTTCTTAAGAGATTTTTTTTCTTTCAGCTCCTGTTGAACATAGCAAAAAAAGTTTCTCTCTCTCTTTCTCTCTCTCCCTCCCTCCCTTTCCCTCCTCCTCCCCCTCACCCCTCCCTCCCTCTCTCCCTCCCTCTCTCCCTCCCTCCCTCTCTGTCTGTCTCTGTCTCTCTCTCTGCCAGCACAGTGCCTAATTAAGCAGAATATATGACCAGATACCAAGTATTTAAGAAATCTCTGCTGCCTTTGTGGTGTGACTATAGAAAAGTAAAGTATAGACGGTTAATCTGTTGTGAATAATTAAGCCATGTCTGGAGTCTTTGACTATCCACATAGTAGCTGTGTATACGTTCAGCATTCTTCTGTCCTGCCAACAGTCATTTCTTTCCAGTGTCTTTTGCTTGAGACATAGTTTTCATTTTGGGTAATGCAAATAGCTTTGGATTCAACCAATTAATTGTTGAAAATATTTACAAAATTGACATCTTTATTAAACATTTATAGACTTTCCTTTGTTGTATGAAAACTGCATAGTATTCACATGGTATTGGAAAGCCTAAGTAATTTAAGATGATTTAAAGTGTATGAGAAAATGATGTAGATTATGTGCAAATACAATGTACTTTTATATGAAAGACTTGGTCATCTATGGATTTTGCTATCTATAGGTAGGTTCTGGAACCAATCACCCATGGATACTGAGAGACTGTGTCTTAGAGTTTATGGATTTTCTCTTTTATTTTTTTGTTGTAATTATTTTTGAGCCAAAGTCTCCTGTACTTCAGGCTGACCTTCAACTCTCAATCTTCCTGCCTCTGCCTCCCAATTGCTGGGAATACAAGCATGTACCACTGTGCTCATCTTTCTCTTTTTTAATTAGTCAATATAATTGTATGTATTTATGAGGTACAGTGTGATAAGTTGATATATAGATACAATGTGTTAACATATTTTCTATAAATCAAATGGAACATATCAGATTAATTGATGTTTAAATTCACCTTTCTTATTTTCTTAGATATCTTCTCACTATGTAGCTGTGGCTCTCTTGGAGCTCACTCTGTAGACCAGGCTGGCCTTGAACACATAAAAATCCACCTGCCTCTGCTTCTGAGTGCTGGGATTAAAGGCATGCTAAGTTTATCTTCCCATTATTGTATACCGTAGTGAGAAGTGGATGGCCAGCCTCCCTTCCTATGATTTAAAATGTTTTCTAATGGCAAATTGAGATCCCCAAATTATTTTTCTGTGGTCAATTTTGAATTATAGTTTGTCATGGATGATGGAGCCCAGGAGAGTTAATAGTATTTAATAGTAGCTTGATAAACCTTTGATCTTCTGCAGAGTACCATCTGAGATCTTAGAGAACCCTTCTGTTTGTGGAATGTGCTGGACTAGTGGTTTTCATCCCCCCGGGAATTTACCACACAGGAGTCAACTGGACAATGCCCAGGATTTTTTTTTCCAGATGTACTTCCTGGAATCTTGTCACTAGAGGCCAGGGATGTTGCTTAAATATCCTAGAACTCAGAGGGCAGCAACCCCAGCATAAATGTGTCCAGCTTGAAGTCTCAGTAATGCCAAGGTTGATGTAATTTCCTCTGCAAACACAGGAACACATCATTTCAGAAGAGGAAAGGACAATAGCAGTGTGTTCATGTGACCCTCTAGAGTACTCGGCTGAGTTCATTTGATCAGACTTCAAAGTGGCTAGTTCCTGCCTACCAAACTGAATAATTAGAATAACAGCTTGTGTTTATGACACGCTGTTCCAGGTACTTGCATACATTACATATTTCTCTTACTTGGTAAATGAGGAACAAGGTTTGGAGAGGTAAAATAAGTTGCCCAGGGTCTCACTGCTGATTAACCTCGGAAGTAGAGATGAAAATCTTCTGAAGTTCACAGTCTCCCTTGTGGTGGGAACCATTCAAAAAATCTTAACTAACAAAATTTTAAATGCTATACAAGTTCATTAGTACATATAGACTCTCATTTGCAAGTTTTTTATAATAAAAATAGAGTATAGTATTGAGAAAATTGAAAATTACTTTATGTCCTAAGTACCATTGAACTTGATTGAAATTAATTAAAACCAGGAATGATAAATTTGGCCAGGCTTGGAGTAAGTAGCAATGGAAGAGGAAAAAGGGGAACCAACATTAATTCTTTTGATTGCATTTCAGAAATTATGATAGTTGTATTGGCACTCATGATCTGATTTGCTCCTCTTAGTTCTACAGAATCGTGAAGATGTACATTTTATAGATAAGAGTCTGAGACTGGGGGCAGGCATGGGGGCGAATTCCTTTAATCCCAGCACTTGGAAGGCAGAGGCAGGTGGATCTCTGAGTTCCAGGCCAGCCTGG